ACAATATGTTTAGATGATCGTTGTATTCTGGAGGTGATTGTCCTCAGAGTTCGCAGCAGTTATCTACGGGCAATTTCGCTTTTTGACATCGTGCTGTCACGAGACTCGATCTTTTGATAAGTTTTTCTGCACTTTACTGTTATTTTATCCAACAGATCCATCCCAAAAATTTTCTGTAGCGACGAGTTCGAGCAGCCTTACGCCCCTATTCGACACCGCTGCGAATGAACAGATCCCGTAACTTCGTGGCAGCAACGACGACTCGCGGTGCATCATCATCGAGTTGCCGGTGGGTAGTGGAGAGATAGAGAGAGAGAGAGAGAACGAAGGTAGAGAGAAATTGTGGTGGTGACGGCGAATAAGAGAGGAGATCGACAAGTGGGAGGAAACGTAGAGAGAGACAGCGGGTTTGTAGAGAGAGAGAGTGGAGAAATGTAGAGAGAGATAGGATAGTGGAATTAATTAGGGTTTATGTTTTAAAATAATTAATTAAAAAATTATAGTAAATTTTAATTATAAAACGTCTGATTTTGGAAATACCAAACTTCCAATCCGATTTTAGAAGGTTTAATACTTAATGTATGATTTTGTGTAATTTCCACTTAGATCAATTTGGACTTGTTCTAGGCGCAATATTTACTACATAAACTACCTAGTTTCTTGGTAATCGACAAAGCGAAGTTGCCGAACTCTATTTGCTACTAAAGTCAAAATATCTCATTTGTCATGAGTGCTTGCTACACCCGCCCCGGTGGATGTAGTAGGAAGGGAACGGTAGTTGGTGGGGGCATTTTGTTTCTCTTCAATTTATATCTTCGTTCTTTTTCCTTTTTAATTTATATATGTAATTGAAAATAAAGGTATAATCAGCTTTTTGGTCAATTTTAATTTTTTATTATGACATGCACTATAGCATTGTGGATAAATGTGCTATAAAATTGAAATGTAGGGGGGTGTAAATGCTAAAAAAATAAAATGAAATTTGTGGCATGTTATGTAGCATTACTAGTGCTTAATTCAAGGAGAACATTCAAACGTTGTTGATTCAAAGAGTTGAAACTTATCGAGAATTCAGTAGAATATATCAACAGATCATAATATGATGATGCAAATTAGTAGAAGACATCAATAAATCGGTTATTGCATCTTGTCTTCCAGAACCTCCTACTTTTTTCAACCACAACCTATTGGTTACCTTCATGCTACTTTCGTCGAACTTCAAAATGTAGGGTTGTAAATGGATCGAATTTGCCTACATCCAATTCGATCCGATAAGAAAATTATCTGATCCGATAATCCAATAGATTTTTTATTGTTAAATTCATATTCAATTTGCTATGTTATCGGATATCCAATCCGATAATCCGATCCGATAAAAATTAGGGGAAAAAAATCAATGTTGGAATCAAATCATCATA